CTACTCTATCTGTCAATCCATACTGTAAAAATACTGATCCATACATCATAGCTAGTCTCACTACAGTCTTTTAGAAATTACCTTTTAGCCTCATTGGAATTCTCTTATTGCATAACACACCAAACACATCTCTCCACTTCATTCACCCGCATTGAATCTTGAATCAATACTTAAAACTTTCCACCTCTCCTATCACGTCTTCACTCATTGTCATTGATCTTCTCATTTCACCTACCTTGTGTTCTCTTTTGTCAAAGTCGTAATCTCAATATATTGTGCTTTTCTCCTACTTATTCTTAATCCTCTTTTTTTGAAGGGCTGATCTCCACAACTCTAACCTCTGATTAATTTCGTTCTTATTTCTTCATAGTAACACTATATTATCAGTGAACATCATGAATCATGCTACCTCTCCTAGTTTTTCTCTAATAATTTCATCCATCACTATAGAAAATAAGTAAGGGTTTGAAGCAAAATCGTAGTGCACTCCTACTCTTACCCTAAAATCTTCTGTTACTCCACCCACATTTTTTACCCTGGTGCAAGTTCCATCATACCTTATACATATCCTCTATTATATTAATGTACATTTTCGGCACTTCTTTTCCCATTAATGCCCATTTCAAAACCTTTCTCAATATTCTATCATACGCTTTCTCCAAATCTATAAATACTATACAGGGTGATTTTTTATCATAACCCACTCAATTACTTACAGAATAATAATATATTAAACATTTTTTTTTTCGATATTCTTTAATTACACATTATTTTTGAATTATTAACTATGTAATACTTTTTAAGTTCATCCCTTATGCCTTGTAAGGATGTCAACTTTGTTTTTTTAAATGGGAACACATATTTTGAATTTAATAAAATGTTTGAGTTTTTAATTTAATAGTAAATTGCATTTGAATACAAAAATAAACTCAAAATAACTGAAAATACGGATAAATTTTAGAAGTATAACATTAAAATAGCTCTACACCTTCACTAAATCAACTTATGCCCTTGAAAATTTGTATTAAAACCCTTAAGTATAATATTAATGTGTTTTGCTAAAAAAAAAAAAAATTTAAGTGACTTTTAAAAAATGATACTTTTGGCCGCCTAAATCGGCGTTTCATTCCACTGTGCGTCAGCGGCGGTAGGAATATACAGGGTGTTCAGTAAGTCAGGAAACGGGTTTCTATTGTTCTCCTTGTTACAAACAATGAGAACAATAGAAACCCGTTTCCTGACTTACTGAACACCCTGTATAAATATATATACGTAAGGCGCATTACATGCGGGTGGTATTAGTCAGTCAAAATAAAAATTTGTTTATATATATATATAATTAATGTCACGTACGCGTGTACGGGTACGAAAACCAAAATTATAAAATTATACAGGATTAGTATTGCCGGCGATTGGTGAGAGGAGTGGGGTGAATGCGTTACGACGTCTAGTCTAGATCAGAGGTTCTCAAAGTCAAATGAATCACGGACCCCCATCTAAAGACCTACAGTTTTAAATACCTAACCCTGATATGTGCTCGCGGACCCCTGGGGGTCCGCGGACCACACTTTGAGAAACTCTGGTCTAGATGACAGGTACGCGAGAACAATAACACGTGCTGCTTGGAAAGTTACAAACACACATCACACATACAAGTGAAACTAATATAAGCGTGTTAAAAATGTTTATGACAAAACCAATAACGTTATATTATTTATTATTTTACATTACTTTCTTTTTTGAATATTTGTTTTTAAAATTTTATTTAATATTATAAAGTAATAAAAATAATTTTTTTTTTTATTTATGTAAAAAAAATAAAATTTACATTCATTGTTCAAACAAATTTAAAAACGGCCAGAAAAAAATGTGTACTTAAGTTTCTTAATAACATTTTATATTAAAAATAAAATTTTTAATTTCGAAGTTATTTTAAAGTTTGAATTTTTTTTGTGATATTATCGCAAATAATATTACATATTATCAATCGATAGCAATTTTATGAAGAAAAGAAGAATATTAAATTTTTTCACGCTAAATATTAGTTATATGCTTTAATTTTTTCCATGAAAATTATCTTTGCTTGAATGAACGCTTATATTCAGATAGTGGCGGTCAAATGATATTACCACGGGAAAGGATGAATAACTTTTATGAAAAAATCATCATTAAAGCTGTTCTCCTATATGCCAGTTTTTTAAATTATATTACTGTATCGGGATGTTATTATGGTTTATTAAATAAGCATAAATGGTTTTCTTTTTATTAAGTCCATTTCAAATATTTATTTTAGAATTGTATTCTCTCATCATTCAAAGGGTGGGGAGTCACTTAGACATTTATCCCATTCTAAATTTTTAGTACAAATCAGAGTCGGTGGAACTATATTCATACTGGTTCATTTAAATGTAATTTATAAATCATGTTGAAAATATAATCAATAATTTTTTATTTATTTTATTACTATGTAAGTTATAATGTTTAGAAGTTATACTATTGTTAGGTAAGATTCATACAGGGTCTTAAGGTAAATTTTGTCTCGTAGTGTTTTATCGTATATTATATTATACAACTTTTGTTTCGTAAGCATAAGTATTTTTATTGTTAGAACAGTAATCTATACATTGGTATAATAAAATAAAATTTTATTTGATAAAAATATATTTTTACCTTGATAACTTCTGATAAATTACGCAATTTTAAAACTACTGTATTAATATTGATCACAGATAATCCAATCTTCTGTTATCAGTAATCACTCGATTTTAAATTAAACGTTTTTATGATTTTATATGTGCAATAAGATAACCGTGAGGTGTTATTTTTTTAACAGATAAAATAATGTCAGAAGCTCACAAAATAGCAAAAAAATATATTATACAGGGTGATTTTTTTATCATAACCCACTCAATTACTTACAGAATAATAATAATTTAAAATTTTTTATTTATTACTATCTTTAGTTACACATTATTCTTGAATTATTAACTATGTAATACTTTTTAAGTTCATCCCTTATGCCTGGTAAGGGTGTCAACTTTGTTTTTTTAAATGGTAACACATATTTTTAATTTAATAAAATGTTTGTTTTTAATTCAATAGTTTTCAAATNATTTTTAATTTAATAAAATGTTTGAGTTTTTAATTCAATAGTAAATGGCATTTGAATTTTTAATGAAACTTAATTTGTTTATTAGATATAAACATTTAAAATTTCAAATTTTTGAGTTAATATATAGGTATAATACACAAGGGATTACAAACACAAGTAACTAATTGATTTTTTATGACATCGATATTAGCAGGTATACATCATTGTTATTATCAATGATAGTAAGGTACATTGTTGTGAGTTTATAAATACACTAACTGTATTGTAAAAAGTATATCTATTGATAGTCATAATTGACAATAAACAATCCGTGACTGTGATAGCAATATCATCAAAAACCAATTAGCTACCTGTATTTGTAATCCCTTGTGTATTATACCTATATATTAACTCAAAAATTTGAAACTTTAAATGTTTATATCTAATAAACAAATTAAGTTTTATTAAAAATTCAAATGCCATTTACTATTGAATTAAAAACTCAAACATTTTATTAAATTAAAAATATGTGTTACCATTTAAAAAAACAAAGTTGACACCCTTACCAGGCATAAGGGATGAACTTAAAAAGTATTACATAGTTAATAATTCAAGAATAATGTGTAACTAAAGATAATAATAAAAAAAAAATTTTTAATTATTATTATTATTATGTAAGTAATTGAGTGGGTTATGATAAAAAAATCACCCTGTATATATATATGTTAGAATTTAAAAGGTATTCATTGAAAAGGTTTTTATGAAATCAATTTGTGGTTTATGAGAAAAAAATCGAGTACGAAACGAGCGGCCTTGTAAAATGATAAGTCGATCAAAAGTTTGCCCGAGTCAAGCATAACCTGAAATGACGCCCTTGAGTATCCCTTTGAATTTACTTACACTGAAAAAAAAAGTTCGGTCGACAATTTTAACTTCGATGCGAAACTGAGAAGGTATTAATTTTACTATGATGTGTTTTTTTTTTTATCTGTATACGCTCAATCTCAGCTCTCGCTTTTGACCTATTTTGATGAACAATACGTCAAAAGATCCCAAATCGTATCTAGTCAAAGACATTACCCTCAAAAATTGAAAAAAATCCCTCGTTCCCCGTAAACGGAGGAAATCTCCAAAAAAATTACAAATTTAAAAATTTTCAAAATTTGTTCAATTTTTTTTACTTAAAATTGCCATTACTTTTTTAAAAATGACCGAATCAATACAATTTTTTTTTTAATAGATACTTTAGGTATTTAACTATCATTTTATATATTATTGTGAACATTTGACCCTTTACAAGCCCACAGGAAAGGTTTCAAAATGGTAACTTTTTTACAAAAAATAAACATTTTCAACTTAACTTTTGAAAATGTTCCGAATAGACTGACACTTTTATATATACCTTAAATTAAAGCTAATGTAATATACTTTAAATTGAAAAAAAGAAAATTTCACTTCTGGACTTGTGAAAAAATGTTTGTCTTTATGGTGCAAATGACTATCATATTCAAAAATATGCTATTTTTGTGTTAAAATTCTGGGTTTTGTATTTTACATTTTTTTAAATTATGTTGCTATAACTTTTTAAAAAATGCATGAATCAATTCTAATGTATTCTTTAATGATAAATACTTTATATATACCTCTTTCATTTGACATACTTTTTTTTTAAATCGGACCATTTCCCTTTATACAAGGAGGGTCAAAACTTTAAACATGCGTATTCAAACTAGGACATTTTCAATTTAATTTTTGAAAGTGTTCCACAAATACTGACACTCTTATATATAACTTAAATTAAAGCTTATGTAATATACTTTAATTTGAAAAAAAAAATTTTGACCTCTGGATTTGTTTTTATGGTGCAAATGACTATCATATTCAAAAATATGTTATTTTTGTGTTAAAATTCTGGGTTTTGTATTTTTTTTTTTTTTTTAATACGTGACAAGGGGAGTACAAATTTTTATAAATAAAACATTAATATAGCATAGAAAGTTAAACTTATTCAAATTTTTTTGCTTTTTGAAGTCGAGAAAATAAGTTTGACATTTGAACTAGCTTAAATAGCCATTTTTTCAACAGACGTTAACGACGTACGGTTGCCGAGTCGGTTAAACTTGTGTTTAACGCGCTTAGGGTACAAGGTTTCAACCCAACCCGCGTATGGCCATGATTTTTTGCATTTTTTCTTAATTCTTTTTAAGTTAGAATAAATTTTCAACTGCTTTGATTTTTATCTCATTTAGATTCAATAACTTCAATAATGATCATTGATCAAGGATCCCATCACTGTAGTTGCCACTCACGAGCAAAAAATTTTTTATTCATATTAAAATTATTTTACTATATTTTAAGTTTTAGCTTCGATGCAAAGCTGAGAAGATATTTTTTTGTGATTATCATTTATTTTCTCTGCTCTAACTTGACCTAATTTTTTCAACGATACGTCAAATTTATGTCATTTATGACTACAATTCGTATCTAGTTGAAAATATTACCCTCAAAAATTGATAAAAAATTCTAATTTATCAATTACACAGTTACTTATCCCATGTTCTCCGTACAGACAAATAAAATTATTCATTTCTAATGTTTTCAAAATATTTATTAACGAATCCAGTTTGATATGATAGGTTTCTAATACAAAATTAAATAATTTTACTTTGTAATTTAATAATTTTTTTACTCTATTTGTGTGTGCTACTACTAGACTTTAATACTCCAAATTTGTTGGTAACATGTTGCTATATAAATTATTTCCAAAAAAAAATGATTGTTAGTTTCTCCTGAATTAATAATGGATTTTTACAATTATAATCAAATTTTATAATACGCTCAATTGAGTAAATCTTTTTAAAAACTTTGTTTTGATTGGTTCATTTAGTTAAAGTAAATCATTTAAATTAATTTAAAAAGTTCTGAATATTTCAATGCAGAATCTTTTTAAACACCAAAAGTTATTAGGAAATGATTACTATTACTTCTATTTAAGTTATCTATTACGATAAAAATGCAAAAAAATATTGAGCTATTCTGATAAATTTACTTTAAATAGTAATTTTTAATTCTCATAAAATTTTCTATTTAATGACATTCACAAAAATCAACTTTAAACGATTAAAAAAATAGGTTAAATATGTCATTTTCCTTATTTTAATATATTAATAATCAAAATCAGTATTAATTTAAAACAATTTTTTTTGTTCTTAATTATTTTTTTTTTATATGTAAATATATTTTTTTTAATAAAAAGTAATAATATTAAAACTTAGAAGTAATAGAAAAAGTTTAATTGCACATTTGAAAATAATAATAAAATAACATCGCGAAAAGTTGATTTGGAAAAGTATACTTTTCTTTCTGATGAAAGTTTCGTGTAGTCTAGTGTATTTATTCATAAGTAACAACATTTTTTTATTAAAAAGTATTGCATCAATCCCTTTAAATTTTTATAGGCGTTAAAAGTATATGAATATACAACTCCTTTTTATTTTTATAATATCTCCGTAAAAATTACAATATTATTGAATATCAATTTCATACTAAATTTAATTACTGTAATTATTATGTATTCACATATTATAATTATAAATCGGAATAAAATTAAGGGAATAAGTGTTATTGTTGTTTTTGAAATAATCTACAAATTTCTTATAATTAAACACTATCTACAGATTTGCATCGAAGCGTTTCTTATAATAGTGATTTTAATCACTGTCAGATATCATCCATACTTGTCCCACCTATGCCTCGTTTACACTGTGCCTCAACCCTACTGTGCTACAGTTTTTTTTTTTATAATTAAATCAACCATAGTATTATTACTGGAACAGAATATTTATTTGCTTAATAAACTTTTTATAGTACTAACAAATATTTTTATTTTAGTCGTATATCAATAATTAATTTTGTCTGTCTGTTAAAAATATTTATTAATTTTAAATTCTCTTTATCTATGAAGGTATTCACAAATTATACTTTTAATCCAATTTTTACTCTAATGAATAAACGCAATAAGTCAATATTAAGTATATCCTAGGTATTCAGTAAGTAAGGAAACGAGTTTCTATTGCTCTCATTGTTTGTAACAACTAACTTGTTTCCTTACGTAAATTTTATGTAAATAAATAGTTTGTACAATAGTACAAACTATTTAAATACTTAATACTCTTGAAATACTTGTCATAATTATTCAATTATTTCAAAATCATCTTTCATGAATTTTAACCAAATGTCTGTCTAATTAGACAGCCTTCTTAACTCAGTCGGAAACACGTCATGTTTCGGTGGGTTAGTACTGGAATTTGATTATGCTGGAATTGACGTTTAAGATAAATAGAACAATAATAGTTACAAAAATTCCATTAAAATAACAAAATATCTAAGATATAATTACCTAAATGACCATAACCTGATACTGCTTTAACAAAAGGATTTTCACTTAAGCGATTACGTATTTCTGGAATAATTTTATAAAAATAATGATGGGGTAAAGTTATATCATACTTATATACAAAACCGAATCGCAGTAAACTTTCAGGAATACTTTCTCGAATTTTCCATAAGCTCTACATTTAAATATAAATAAATATGATATAGTAGTGAAAAAACAAAATATATATTTTTATTTTATTCTACTTGAGTTTGCGAAGGTTGATCTGCTAACGTTGCATCCTCAATTAATTTTTCTGCAAAAGATTGTTCTAAAAAAATTTCCAAATCTTGGGTTGTTGAATTATGATTTGTTGATAATTCTACCAGTACATAAAATTCTAAATTATTGTTGATTGGACATTTTAAACCAATATTTTGATTGACACATTTTATAGCTTCAGAGTCCATAAGTTCAAAAGATGAAATGGCATCAGTAAATTCACACCGCATTTTCTCAAATAACTTTGATACTTTATCAAAAGAACTGAGGCCTAAAATATAAAAAAATTAGCCGTTTTAAAACAATAAATTGAAAAATTAATTACCAATTAGTGCGACAATTATATATTTAGAAGCATTTGGACATTGAATGGCGATCTTTGTAATGATGCCTAATGTTCCTTCAGATCCAATGAAAAGATGTTTCAAGTGATAACCAGTATTATCCTTTTTTAATGTTTTAAGACTATCTAAAATTTTGCCATCAGGTAAAACCTGCAAGAAAAGTAATGTTCATGAAACTATGCGGCATAGTTGGGACAAGTATAGACAATAGATATTTGACAGCAATTAAAAATACTTTGATGGAAATCTATAAATAGTGTTTAATTTTAAGAATAAATTGTTGGATTATTCCAAAAGCAACATCAACTTAAATTTCTTTAATTATATCCTGATTACAAATTTTATAATTTATAATTACAAAATATGAATAAATACTTGTTATAGTAATTAAATATAACGAAATTTATATTCAATTACTTAGTATTGTAACTTTTACAGAAAACTATAAAATGTTTGTATATTTCGTTATCTTAATGCTAAGCATATCAAAATTGTAAGCAAGGCTGACAAGTAAATGATTTTTTTAAACTAGTTGAAGATAAGTTGGTTTTAAAAATTGAGTAACTAGCTCTATGATATCTTGCAGATGATTTGATAAATTAATTATATGTGTTCACTATCTTATTTTATCCACAAAATAAAATATACAGTATAAATGTAATTGGAAACAATAACAAAGCCTAACGTCGTCTAACCACACATCAAATTATATTTTCAAATAAATTTTTATACTCAACCTATTTGAACTGAACATACAAAAGACTGTTTAATCATTACAACAACAAAAATTAACTATATTAGTATATTATTATAATAGTGTAGTTTTACCACTAGATAGGTGAAAATAAAAGAAAGTTTTGATAATCTGCCCTAATTAGTTATTTATAATTTCAGTTATAAAATTAAAATTTTTCATAAGCAATAAGGTAAATTAAAACTGGATGGACAGTTAAATTTTTGTGCAAAAAGATTATTTTAAATCCCTTCCTATTTAAAAATCATAATTTTTTTGGTTATATTCCACATTTATAGAGAACAAGGAAAATTTTTTCAACTAGATACAATATCTTGTAAAGTATTAAAAAATCGGTCCTGTGAGAGTTGAGAAAGAGGCTATAAATACATGCAAAAAATAAAAAGAAACTCACCGTAGTAATATTAATACCTTTTTAACTATGCATCGAAGCTAAAAGAATATTATTTTGACCTCAAATAAATAATAATTAATTTGATAGTAGATTCCAAATGGAATTTTGTCACCAATTCCATATACCTTATAATTTTCAGATTAATTTTAGTTTTCGAAATAATCACTAATTAGTGAAAGTAGGTAATTAAACAATTAATTACTTACTGAAAAAAAATTTAAATAACCTTATTTAAAACATTAATGATCTATATTTAAGAAGAACTTGTAAATATTTAGATCCATATCTTAAGTTTAAATTATTACACATGTGAAATCAATTGAATAAATTATATTTCTTTATAGTTTACATTGCTATAGGCGAAAAAAAATTAATTTTCTCATCAAATTTGTTATTTTAACCTCCTCTGTGAACAGATAGAGATCGAAATTTAAAAAATAATATTCCAAAGAAAAAGAAAAAATTAATATCTTCTCAGATTTCCACCAAAGCTACAAAATTTGTCTTTGATATGTCTTCTACTTGACGGCCATAATTAGAAAAAATAATATTTTTTATACTAAAATTCCCGATTTTATATTTTGATTTTCAATTTATAATATTATATATAATATAATTCTAATCTTTCAACCACTGGTATATGCAAGCTTAAGTTAAACATTGCTATTTTTATGTAAAAAATCACTATATTCCATATTGTTACTATTTTTAATGCCAATCATTATTATTATAATCAATTATTAGTCTCTATATAGTATGTATTTTAAACTAAACAGTACAGACATAAATAGGATAGGTAGTATCACTCTTAAAATATGTATAACTATTATAAAACAGTCAATATTGATATATTTAGTTTTCACTTTATATTGAAATAACTTTTTTAAAACTGAACAGATTATTGCAAACTTTTTATTAATAATACTTTAGACATTTGTTTTACCGATGATGATGTGCTTTTTGAAAATTCAATCATTAATTAAGAATATTGTGAAGACTTAAAAATAATAAAATATTTTCTTTAGAATTTTGATGTTCCAAAAAACTTACCTTCATTAAACTTATATATTTAAGTAACATACATATAACTATATTTGAAAACTATCTTGATTCTAGGAGTTATTTAGTATTTTAGTATAAATCATGAATTTTTTGAGTAAAAATTACCAATTTTTTCATTTTTTGCATAGTGACTGAATATTTATATCATTATAAATTATTTCAAATTAAAACTTGTTAAATGTATGTTTAAAAGAAAAGTTCTGGTAACTTAATCTTCGAATGATTTTATAATGGTCTATTAATGATGTTCTTTTAAGACAAATACTGTGTAACTTTTGGATAAATTTTTTTTTTATTCGTTTTGCATAATACAGGTTGAAATCCTTTACGGCAGTGATTTTAATAACTATCAGCTATCAATCAATACTTAATTAAAAAAATGCCTCAACTCCACTAAGCTGAATGCTGGTTGTACATAACTTTATATTATTGTTAAAAGTCTTTAGGGAAACTTAAATTTTTTATTTTGATTTTTAAAACTGACTTTAGGTAATGTTAAACATGAAAATTACAAAAGACTAGTAAACTGTCAAAGGATAGTATTTTACTCTTTATATATATTAATATAGTACAGGAGAAGGAAGAGTTAAAATTTAATTTAATTTACTTACTTAGAACATTTTAGATAATTTATTTAAGTACATAATTTAGCTTTTAATATTTTATATAATTATTATTGAACTTTAAATTAACAGCCAACAATTTACTAGTCTTTTTAAAATTTATTTGTATTTTTTATATCATTAATTAGTGAAAAAGCTTACTACTTGTAATCCAGAAATACTACCATGTAAGCTACCATATTTAATCAATCTAAGCCCTCCTGCATTAGTAGCCACATTACCCCCTATCTGACAACTTCCTTTAGCACCTAAGTCAAATGGCATAATAAACCCTTCATTTTGTACATAATTCATCAAATTCTCTAGTACACATCCTGCTTGACAAACCAAAACTCCTGCAATAATATTTACTTTATAATATAAAAATTAATTTTATTATGAAAATTTCAAAAATACCGGATAATTTGTCAAAACTAATAATTTTATTCATAGCTGAAGTAGATAGTATTATTTCATCAAAAACGGGGACACTGCCACCAACAAGGCCAGTATTGCCTCCTTGAACACATATGGCAATGTCACGTTTATAACAATAAGAAAGGATTTGTGAAATTTGTTCTGTTGTTTTTGGTTTTAGTACACATTTACTATAACCTACAAAAATGTCTTAGACAATTCATTACCACATAATTAATGTAATTCATTTACCAGACACAGATTTTAACCAATCTACATTATAAGAGAATAATTCTTCTACATCTGTGATAACATAGTTAACACCTAAAATACTTTGAAAAAAATGTATATCAGATATATCTAGTTTAGTATAAGGTCCTCTTTTCAAGTGTGGGTATTTATCTTTTGTTAGCGGTATAAAGTTTCTAAATAATGAAGGTTTTGAATGAAACCTTCGAATAACTTTGAAATAGCGAAAAATAGCAGATTCCATTCTTAGTTTTGTAGTTGCAGTTTAAACAATCAATTTTATAAACTAAAAATTTATCAAATTTTTAGAGAGTAATTAGAAAATTAGAACTGAATTAAAAAAAAATTAATAATCATACTAACCTATTGAAGAGTTAATTGTTTTAATTAATAATACATTATTTTAAAAAAATCTAATACACAAATTAATATTAAATTCAAATTAAAAAATTGTTTTAATCAAAGTTCAGATTAAATTAAAATTTTTATTACATAAAGCATAATGTTCAAAATATAATGATTACGATTTTACCCAAGGTTTTAACCAAATGTTTTTATTATTAATTAACGCTACATAATTTGAAATAATACAAAATATGTCAATATTTTTAAAACATATTAACTGAAATAAAAAATAACGTAAAACAATTAGTTTACTTAAGAAACAAATATTAAAACTTATAAAATTAATGAGTTATATCATTTACGACTACTTATTCAATTAAATCTGAATAAAAACATGTTGGGATTACCTAATCTTAATTAACAATTAGTTTGATTTGTGTATGGTAAATATCATGCAATGACGTAAAAAGTAGATAAAATGTCAAATGATAATAGTTTCCTTAAAAGATAATAAAAAATATATAATTATACTATCTACCACAATAACTTGTATCCTACATCACAAATTTAAACAACAATAAAAATTTACTATAGAATACTCGTATTATAATATAATATATAATATATATATTATAATATCTATGGCTATTACTAGTAACTACGTCTTTGAACCAGCTTTTAATACTAGATGATAACGTATTGATAGTAAAAAGTTCAAATTAAGACGGAAACATTAAAGTGTCATAACTGAAATTTAGTACTTATAAGTATTTTCTTAGATTATATATTCCTAAATAAAACATTTCCCTGATAAATACTGTCCAAGGTGGTATTTTCCCGTATTATATTTTTCGTATTTTTATCATTCCTGCATTATAAAAATTCCAAAAAGTTTGGTTCCTGATATTTCACGGTCCTATTTAATACTATTCCAACAAATACTTCAGTACTGATAAATATTTTATTATAAAATACTTAATAATTGTTCTGTATAATAATTCGTACGCGCCACCGTTTAAATTTTCTATTTACCACATTTAAAATATATTTCGAAATTATTACACCATTTAGGTTTACCGCTAGGAGCGTTAACTACACGATGAAGACTCAAACTACAGCATCATATGAATTTTAGATCGCATTTTAAATTATTTTTAAAAAATTTGTAAAAATAATTATATAATATAATAAATATATTATATTTAAGGAAAATTACAGAAATTCTATATTTTCACATCATTTATGGATAGAGTATTTAAAATTAATATTATTTCCTATTTTTATATAGAAAATGTAAATTATATTAGTTCACTTGGTTAATCATTTGATCAATTTAAGTTAGCCTAATTTTTCAATTAATTTTCAAACTTTTTTATATTTTTAAGTAAGTTTATCTTAATGTCAATTTGAAAATTAAATAATTAATTTCAATATTTCCAAGTCTTTTGACTACATATTTAAGTTTTGCATTGAAATAATTAGTTAAATATTTCTAGTTACATATATTTTAATTTGTTTTTGAGCCCACATCGTCATAGAAAAGTATAGCTTTTAGTGGCATATACCATAAATTGTGTATCACATTAATGTGTATACTTTTTAGTCATGAATAAGCAGAGTTAATAAATCCATTTTGGTTCAGATAATATAATATTGTTTACTATGATTAGTAATTGATAAGGAGCAGGTTAATTTTAAATTAAATAAAATCATGCTACCAAAATATTTAATAATGCATCTTATATAAAAAACTTATATTTAAAATTAATATTTTCTGTTTAGTTTTCATAAAAAAACGAAAAACATGAAAGTGGTAAAATTAATTTTATTGAATTATTTTGACAATATGTACATTTTTTTGTTTTACAAGAAATAAAATATTTTTGTTGACAGTATTGTTTAAGTGAAGATCCTAATAAGCCATGTTTTATAATCAAACTAAAATCTGTTACAATTATGTTGGATTGTGGACTTTCTTCCCATAGTGTCTTGAACTTTTTACCATTATTTCCCATTCCCGATTGGAAGCCAACAAAAGCAACATCATGGATACCTAAGAATTTTTCTGATCCTCAAATTGAAGGGGTATTATAAAGATTAAGTTTCAAGTTTATTACTAGTCAATTAACAAAATATCATTAATATATTTTAATACATTAGGAATTAAATGAATGCATGACAAATCAAGTACTTGTAAATTCAGCTCCTGAATTTATGATACCACTCACTAAGCTGATAGATTTTTCAGAGATTGATGTAATACTAGTTTCTAACTATATGACAATGTTAGCTTTACCATTTATCACTGAAGATACCGGATTCAAAGGTGTTATTTACATGACCGAACCGACATTGCACATAGGAAAGTAAGAATAAAATTTTACATCATGTTTTAATTGAAAAACTATTTATAAAAACTTAACTGTATTAAATTTTTTCATTAAAAAATGTTTTATTATACTATAGAATATTCCTTGAAGAATTGGTAGACTTTGTTGAACAATGTCCTAAACCAAATGTAGCAAAATATTGGAAAGAAATACTACATTTATTACCACCACCATTATGTAGTAGTTTTAAACCTCACACTTGGAAACAGTTATATAGTTTATCACAAATTCATTCATGTTTAAAAAGAGTTCAAATGATTAGTTATGATCAAAAAATTGTAATTATTATTTTTTATCATATCTAAATGACAACTCATTTATATTTTTTCATACAACATTTTGTACATTATAAAAAAAAAATAATTTTGTAAAATGGTGTGTGACCTGTTAATTTCAACAAAAGACACGTAACTGAAATTGTAACAATCCATATTATTCCCCACAGCACTCCCACAAATTATACACAAATTCATGTCAATTCTGGAGTGTTAGAAGTATGGAAACTGAGGAAAAATATGTCACAAGCTGGGAATTGAATCCAGGGATCTTGCTATCATGGCAATAGCTTCCATTAAGCTAGGCTATACTTAAATGACTGATAACAGTTCATAATAGATTTAAGACAATTAATCTATAAGTTTTAGTAGAATTTTAATACTTATAATGGTTAACTAGCATGAGTGAGAATTAAATCATATTTGTCAATTACTTCATATGATATCTTAAGTTATAAAAAAATGCTTTTAAATTTAAGTTATTTTTTAAAATAATATTGATTTTTTCAACAATTACTGTTTAAAATTTGTAAAATATTAAATGGGTCAAAAGTTTATAGAGTTGTCAGTTAGATTTAGTTTGTACTTTTTAAATATATTATTACATATATTACTAATAGAGAAAAACATTTTATAGGAAATCACTGGTACATTAACTGTAACTGCTGTAAGTTCTGGGTATTGTTTAGGTAGTAGTAATTGGGTAATATATTTAGAGAGTAAAAAAATTGTCTATGTAAGTAACACATCAACATTAACAACTCACCCGAGGTATTAAACTTTCTTTATATATATGATATATATTTTTACATAATATTTTTTTAATTAGACCTATGGATCAACTTAATTTAAAAAATGCTGATGTCATGTTATTAAGTAGTTTAACTCAAGCACCAGCTGCCAATCCAGATGCAATGCTTGGTGAATTGTGTTTGTCTGTTGCTGTTACACTTAGAAATAATGGTTCTGTACTTATTCCATGTTACCCATCAGGAGTTGTTTATGACTTATTTGAATGCTTATCATCTCATTTAGATAGTACAGCTTTAGGACACATCCCAATGTATTTTATTTCACCTGTTGCTCATAGTTCATTAGAATATTCAAATATTCTTGCTGAATGGTTAGATAATAATTATGTAAAATAAATACATTTTAAAATATACTTAAATTTTTTAAGGTTATCACAATCTAAACAAAACAAGGTGTATTTTCCTGAAGAACCATTTCCTCATGCGCAATTAGTAAAATCGGGTCGTCTGAAACATTTTAAGCATGTTTATACGGATGATTTATGGAATGATCTAAGACAGGTAATTTTTAATTTTGATATAAAAATATAAAAAAATTTAAGATGAATACAATTCAATCAAATTTATATTGTAACTATTATTATTATTTTATTATTTGTAATAATAAAAAAGAACTGAGTATAATAAGTGTTTTGATCATCTACATCATTAATCACAGATTTCATAGTAGTTTTAGAGATGGGGGTACGTTACATATGTTTAAAATTTTGATGCGTAGAGCCATGGTTAGATGAGGTATTTTTTTTAATTTTCTAATATAGTAATTTTGTAGTAATCTGGTGTTACTAAGTTTAATTAAGGAAAAAATAGTAGTTTTTTTTACTCATTTAGTATTAAAGAAATTATATAACATATCTTAATAATTCAAATAATATTTTACAATAAAAATTTATTCAACATATTTGTTAAATTTTTAATTTTTATTTATAGCCTTGTGTTGTTTTTTGTGGTCATCCTAGTTTACGTTTTGGAGATGTTGTCCATTTTGTTGAATATTGGGGAACTAATCCTCTAAACACTATAATTTTTACAGGTAATATTTTAATAATTATTATATACATATAGTAAACAATCAAAATCATATATTCATGTTTTCATTAAAATTAGGCTAGTTGGCTAGCTGCTTTTGCATAGTTCTACAATACAACAAAAGTTTACGACATAATATTAAAAATTAATTAAATAATTTTTTCAATAAAATATTTATTTTAGTAAATTTCAAAAAAATGAGAAAATATGTTTTTTAATTAAAATGAAAAAAAAAATTTATATTCAAAAGATATATAATGGTAACAATATTTTGTGTTGAAAAAAATTTTTTATTTTTATTGATTTTATGAAATGAACATTAATTATACATTTTTAGTTATTACAAAATCAATTTTTTATGGCCAACCCCAAGTAGTTAAGAATTAAGGCGAGGAATAAGAAGACAAAATCAATTTTTGACTTAAATGTTGAAAATAAAAAATTTGTATTGTACGCTAAAATTACTACAGCATAGATGAACTAACTACAATATTTCATAAATAAATAAATTGAATTATGCAATTTTTTTTTTGAGCTGTTTGGTTAATTTAATTAAAATTTATTGAGCGAACTCTAAAAATTAATTTAATCCCAGATTTTATAGAAAATTATTCTTTTTGTTATATAAAAATTTTATTTTATTCATACTAATGAATTATTTGTTAAAATCGTAATAATATATTAATATTTTAGGAAAAATAAATTTAGTCCCTAAAAATTGTATTTTTATTTTTACCTTTGTAATTTTTTTTTTAGAACCTGAGTTCCCATATATGGAAGCTTTAGCTCCATTTCAACCTTTATCTATGAAAGCTATGCATTGTCCAATCGACACAAGTATGAACTTCACTCAAGCTAATAAAATGATAAAAGATCTTAAACCTACAGTGTTAATTCTCCCTGAATGCTATACTATTCTACCAGCAAATATTGGCCACAAAAATGAATTTGTAATTGATCAAGTAAATGACAAAAAGTATTATGAACAGTGTTGAATTCAGACAAGCATTTGTGCAACTAAAAAAACATTTTTTTATAAAATTACTAAAAAAAGAGTTGATGACCAAAAAAAATGTGTCTCAACTCTTATGCTTAAAACTTCAACTAAATTAAATTAATTTCAATACATATTTAAACAGAAAAAATTTAAAAAAAAAAGCTCTATTATTATTTTTACCATCTAGCCATCTTATAGTGTATCTGGATTCAATATTGGTTGAGTATTAAATTCAGTAACATTAATAAATTGAATTAATGGTGATATATTTAAAATATAGTACAAAAATAATATTAATATTATAGTTTAATTTCCCTTAAAGACAGAAATGGAGTAATTATGACAGAATCTTACGTCCTAATCTTTACATCGAAGTTCAAGATCAAAAAAATTTTTATTATTTCTTTAACTTACTAAAACTAATCACCACTTAACCATAACATATTATTTATTGAATACTTATAATAAAAGTTATCACTAGTACAGTTTTATATTATTTTATTTTTTTGTTTATTTCACATTTTTAATATATTTGAAAAAGTAAAAATAAATTAATTGAGCTTTAAGTTTTCAAACAACATTATTAATTAATATTATAATAAATTTTTTTTAGAAAACTCTAACTTAACTAAAAAAAACTTTGACCAATTAAAAAGATTAGTAACTATTATAATTTTTTTTTTATGTTATTATTTATTAAAAATAACTTTTAAAATTAACTATCAATAATTTTTAATTATTAAATAATTATTTTTAATATGAATTTTATGAATTATTTATATTTTTTTAATTACTAGAAAATTTAGTTTTACTTTCATTTATTGAATTTTTACAATAATAAAATTACATTTTAAATGTAGTTATTTAAGCAAAAATTAACTTGAATGTTAGCTCACATTTTAATTTTTTATTTTATAATGGTTTTGTTATGATGATCTTATAGCTTTATCATTAACAAATTGTGCCTTTGTGTACACGTGTAGAGTTTCGATTCAGTAATGCTGAGTTGTGCAAGATTTTCTGTTCTCTCATACAAAAATTAGATTTTTTAGTTGAAATGTTAAAAAAAATTGTATATATATATATTAATTACACATTTTTATTTTAGGCAGATCGTAAAGTTGTAACTATCAAAAGAGGAGAAGTAATTTCAGAAAAATTAGATATAAAATCAATTAATGTACCTTTTAGTACAGAAATGGTTGTAAGTGTCACATTAAATGAAATACATTCTGGACTAAAAGCATCCAAGTTTACAGCTGTATTAGATACCAAAGATAATAAATATAAATTAGATGTAAGTAAAACCCAATAAAACTATTTAAATCATTTTTTTTTATGAGTTACTTATGTTGTAACTAGAAAGAAAACTTATTTTTCAGATATTGAGAGATGAATTATTGGAGACTAAATCTAATGAACCATATTGGTTAGAAACGCTCTTCAAAAAATCTTATGAATGGGGGCAATTAGACATAGATAAATTTTTAAGGTCATTAACAAATGAAGGAATTAATGATCCTAAAATTGAGCATAATGCTCATGGGTATACAATACATCTTGTAAGTAGNTTACTGATTCTTTTAAATTATGAGTTTGTTAATTATTTTTAAGAAATCTGAAGACACTTTGATACAAGTTGATGAAAAATCAACCCACATATTTTGTGAAAAAATGGATAAGGACTGGCGCTTGAAACTACGGAATATAGTCATTGATAGTCTTCAATCATTTTAAATAAAAATTGTTTTTATTTACAATACTAAACAATTATTTTTTCAAAAAATATATTTAAGTATTCCTAGACTAAGATATTTATTTTACTTAAATAAAACTAATTAGAAATAAGTTCAATTTGTTTATATTTTTTTCGAAAGTTTGATACTGGATCTTTAAACAGTATTGGATCTAATCGAACACTTGATTGAAGTAATGGCATGTATCCAAAAAGTGCTACAAATGTGTTCAAACAGGTTTGTCGTTGCATAAAATGATCTGGATCATTCCATGGAGATCTAATAAATTCAAAATAATATTAAAATATAAAAAATATAATAATATAAAAAAATTAAAAACAAAAACAAGCTTTTAAAAAAATTACAGTCATGTAAATACTATGAAATAATCTTAAAATGGATAAATAAATTTGATTAGACTTGTAGCATAGCAGAAGAAAAACAGAAAATAATTCCAAATATTCATTATAAAATGTAATTTTTATCTTTTATTTATTTATTTGATTATCAAATGCCAAAGATGGCAATTTACAAAAATAATATACATGATAATCTGTATGATATCAAAGAACAAAAAATAAAATATTTATATGCATAAAGTGTGAAGAAAAATGTACAACAGAATAATTAATAGAATCAGGCTTAAATATCTCAAAGAGAAATTATTATATAAGAAGTAGATGTGACCAAAATTATAAATTGTTAAGGGAGCGGGAGTATTCTGTGTAGAGGGGTATTATTATAAGAGGAGCAATGAGAGAGAATATGAAAGGGAAAGTGATTTCTAGTGGGATAGGATGGAACACGTAAAGATATAGAGGACAAAAGGTCTAGTGCATCAATTAAACCATTAAGGAGAACATTGATAAAAGAAAGGTCGGTCAGCGTTAACTCACCTGAAAGCAAGAGTATGGATACTACGGGTGGACTGAATAATGAAGTTATCATGCAGGGGTGGGCAATTTTAAGCAAATAAGAGGCATAAGATAAAAAACGGTTTTGTAACCTTTCAATTCGTAGTCGCTAGCTAAGCATGGATGTCACACAACCACATCGTATTCTAAAATCGAGCGAATGAAGAAATAGTAGAGGAAACATAAACATTGCGAAGAAGTTAAAAAACTAGTATGACGCTTTAAAAAATCTAAAATTTTCAAGGCTTTGCCAACTATTATGTCGATATGAACGTCAAATGATAGCGAGGGAGTCAAATGGAATCCTAAGTCAGTAACTGAAAATATACGCTCTAACACGGAATTATCTAAAGCAGGAGTGAAGAAGAGGAGCATGCTTCCTGGTAAATGTCATAATGTGACATTTACTTGGATTAAATAAGAGGCCAACCCGATTAACTCAGCAAACAAAGGAATCAAGATCTACCTGCAGTAAACAATCAGAGAGAGAGAGAAGCTATTTTATTAAAAATTTTCATGTCATCTGCAAATAAGAGGACTCGGTAATTAGATTGGTAATTATTAATAGAGTTGACATAGAGAATAAACAGCAGAGGACTGAGGAGCCCATCTTGAAGGACTACCGAAAGAACTTCAGTAACGTTAAAATTAGTACCATTGACAGAAACATATTGTTTTCTTGACGTAAAGTAGGACTGTAGTCAAGAAAGTAAAGGATCACCTATACCAAGAGATTTAAGCATAAATACAAGCAGATAATAGTCAATTGTATCGCAGTCTTTTTTAAAGTCAGTGAAGGACAAAGTGTATCTACAGGATACAGTAGATTTACCTGTGCGGAAGCCATGCGATTAAGACTTCGTTTAATATTAGAATAGACAAGGGATTAAATAGTTTGGCAATATGAGGAGGATGGAGATAGGTCTATAATTGGAGAAAAGAGACGGGTCACCAGTTTTCAGTATAGATGTAATGGAACTAATCTTTCACAACTTCATTTCACAAAACCCTCATTTAGTGAACACCTAAAAAGCAAAAAGATAGAATATACTAGAGAAAGAAGATAATTATATAATAATTTTGCTGAGATTCCATCAGGATCAATCGAAAAATTGTTTTTTAGAAAACTTAATACGGTTTGGATATCATTGAAGGAAAAAACAATTTGAGGGCAAATTATAAGTATAGGTGGTACAAATAGTTGAATTAGAGTGACAAGAAAATGGGGTATTGTGAATTCAGTAGGTGAGTAAGAGTTTACATTATTGTGACACACAGATGAAGGAATGAAAGAGAGTTTATTAAGAACTTTGGTATATTTCCAAAAGGTAGAAGGATTAAGGGTAAACATTTGTTGGGTGTTATTAATATAGGACTGGCAATTTAGTTTAGGGATATGCTTACATTTAGATCTAAGCTCTGAAAAAATTAAATAATAAAAAAATTAAAATAAATTAATATTAAATAATAATATTAAATATTTTGAAGTAAAAAAACTCCTAGAAATGTGGAATAGTGGATTGATAACCTTGAGAAAGTTCTTGATAACAACAATAAGTCCTTACAATTTAAGTAATAGAAATCTTCGTATTATGAATTGTTATATAAAAAATTACCACTAAAATGACTCACAATGTAAGAGCAAAAGATTTTAAACATAGCTATGAGTTAATAAATAGAGAAGTGAACTTAATTATTTTACTTAATTAAAAAATATAGACAGAAATTTATCACTTTTTTAACAGTGTGACATTGTTTTATAAGATAAGTAGCATAAAAATTGAAAAATTGTAAAATGACAAAGTAGATTACTAATATTTATATTACTAAATTATTTTTCTAAGTTTTAGTTTTAATTTATTATTATTTACAAATCAAATGATTTAACAAATTTGAATAAGAACATTTCAAGTTTAGAAATATATAATAAGAAATTAGTAACATGATGTCAAGATTATATTCTCAAACTTTATCTTCCTATTCCCTAAATATTATGTTAAGCAAATTATGTATTTTTCAAATAAAACTTTACTTGGGCATGCCGTTAATTCCTTGTTCTTTGTAATGTTTTCGTTGAGAAACTTTTATTGGTGGATGTCGGGTAACATGACTTACTAGACAATTCATGAGTATATCCTCACAGTTATGAGATTGCTCAACAGTTTTTATTAATAATGGACTCAACCATGTTGTATAAAGAGTATTATAGTATTGATGATAAAAGGCAGCTCCAGTGAGAACAATTGAATAATCATTAGTCCATTTAGATGAGTACAACCAAGAATCCTAAAAAAATATATATATAATAAGAATAACATTGATTTTTAAGATAAAAAATAATTTTTAAGGATTAACTGTAAAAAATTATAATATTTTTTTGCTCACTCTTATCAACAATTTCACATACCAAAAATGTTTTGGTAGAACTTAATTTAAAAATGTGTTAATTTATTAAAAAATAAATATTTTAATGTATTATCAAAATAAATATTGAATTTTAGATGCAATAACTTTATTAGGATTTACTACACATTTTGAGAGGGACGGTGTGGCCAAGTTCGTAACACAACAATGCTTTAAGTGCACTGTCTGGTGTTCTAAACTCAGTCGCAGGCAACTTCATTTGCGAGCTAGAGATCAGTTTAGTAATTGGAGTCGCCATCCCTCTCTTCAAGGACAAACTAACCATCCATTAAGCATTCTGAAAACAAGAAACTTAAAGCGATATTATTATTTTGTTTTATTTAAAATTTTACTTTATTACTATCCCAATAATGTGATCTGGCAGGAAAACCAACTATTCTTTCAGGAAATGACTGCCATACATTAAATGCGAAATCAATTTCATCAGTAGATAATACAACATCATCATCTAAAGATAGCACAGCTTCAGTTTTGATGAATGGTAAAGATTCAAAACGTCTACAACCATTTCCAGAAGAAATTAATATTTGTGTCCCTGCAATTGTCTGGTAGCCACTTTTTCCACCACTTTCAACACATGAGTTAACAACTATCTTTAATAACATTATTTCATAAATCAATGAATGTCAGTTGTAAAAACTATTAATGGAAAAGAAAATAATTACTTGGGATAAATATTTACTAGCTGACAAATTTCTCACTAATCGATTTAGAAGTGTATGAAAAGTACTTTGTTGAGAAAATATTACAGCTGTAAAATTTGTCCCAGGTTTTTTACCTAGCAAATGATAATTAAATGGTAAATTAAAATGAAGATTGCCAGTGAAAGAATGTTGAGACACTAAAGCTCCAGGAGATGTATTCCATATAATTCCATTTCTTGATTGTAACATAGGTAAACGTTCTTTTATTATCTGAAAAATATATATAAATTTATTTTTTCTAATATTTATAAATATTTAGTTTATTTTTTTACTTCAAAGGTAACAAAAACAATTTTTTCAATTGTATTAAAATATTGCTCCCATAATATCTGTGTTTGTTGTCTTAGGGCAAAAAGTTTAGTTTCTGAAACAGAATTAATTATTTCTGGGACTTGAAATAATAGTCTTTCATCAGCCCAAATCACAGCTTTGTTCCAGTCAATCACTTCATTAAATGGAAGAGCCCAATTATTTGATAATAAAACGGGAATACATCCAGCTTGTAAAGCTTCTAAAAATCTATAGGATCCTAATCGACGACCACGAGGTACAAGACAAAATGTTGAGTTCTTTAATAACTCACTATAATCATACCTATAAGTTGTAAAATTTTAAAATGCTTTTAAATAATACAAACATTAAAAATTATCTATCATTTACTTCTCATATAAGGAATTGTCAACAATACACCTTTCATCTTGAGCATCTTTCCAATTTTTTCCATGTTTACAAGTTGTCACTATGATTGTATCTTTGCCATTATGTAAATGAAAAATAGAGTTTCTTGTTTCTGATCCAATGCCAAGAACATATCTTTTCCCTTTAAAAGCCAATTTGTATTTTTTTGTAATTGGAAATGTATTAGAACGAACAAATCCAGATTCTCCTCCTCTTTCCGGATGTTTCTTTATAGTAATTTTAATTATTTAAAAATTTATAATTATGTAAATATAAATACTTACTTTGTGAAAAAGGGGAAAAGAAATATCAAAACCAGGTCTCATATTTGTTACCGACATACTAGCTTTAGCTAAAATAGCATCACCAGTATAAAATCCTAAATCATCTTCATAATAATCTGGCCAAGAACCAGAGTAAAGATTAAAAATAATATGGTTACGGCCACCATTCCAATGTTTTAGGCGTTGCATCTTTACAGGGATATTACGAATATAATCTGGAGACAAGGGATCTCGATCCAGAGTATCAATTGCAACAACAAAAACACATGCTTTAGTATAGTCATCAGTGTAATATCTTGATTCTAAAATAATATCAAGCATTTTTTGGTACAATATACTACGGCTTGAGGTCATTAAACCATTGCTGTCAAGTTCAGACAAAGGATAAACAAACACATGAAAATTTTTGTCACACCTCGAAGCATCAAAACAAGTTTCCATCCTGAACATAACTTTGGTAAGTAATTTAATCAATAAAATTATCTCATAAAAATTTGATCATACCTGCAATTTTTATTGGTTTTTTTGTAAGACACATATAGTGAATTGTGTAGTCTCAAATCATATGATTTTGGTGTTGGTGGTCGACCAATTTCATTAATTTGTTCCCAATCATCAATAAAAGATGGTAATTTCTTTGGACCATTATTTTTAGATTCTTTACTTTTAAACTTTTTTGATTTACCAGTTAATTGAAAAAAATACAAACAAATCGTCAATAAAAATAAAAACCAAAGTAAAATAAATCTTTTATAAGCTTGCATTATAAAAAATATTTAATTGACAGTGATAATCCGTAAGCCATTACAAAAATTAATCTACTTAGGCTTAATAGACAGCTATAAATTTATGAAACATTAAAACAATCAAAGTTAATAGTTACAAATAAAGTTAATTTAAACATTTTATTCTATTATTAATAATAAAAATATAAAATAAAAGGGATTTTCCAAGACCGTGAAATAAAATAATTAGAAAATATAGTAAATTAAGTAATTTTATTTTAAAAAATTAGAACGAATTTCTAATCATGAATATCGGACAGAATTAACTGAAATTTATATCAACTCGAGTTATCAATAAAGTATGCAAATGCTATCATTACAGAGAAATATCGTAGAATTTTTTTAAAGTTAATGTAGTAAATTTGAAACATACTGGATAAGTAATTTGTTGTTTTTGGTTCAAGTATGTAAGCTAATCTCTGATCATTTTTTAAAAGTAATATATATGTATATTATTTTTTCATTGTTTAATTAAAAGTAGGTCAACATTTTTTTCTTTAACTTTTTGATAGATAACTATTACAAAACTTATCGTTAGTAAATTTAATTACTTTTATAGAAATTGCATTGATTCGATCAACTAGAGTGAGAAAATAAATACATAATTACAAGACAAATCTGAAGTATTATCCCGCAGAAGTTGATACTATTCATTTAAACTAATTTGTTAGTTTATTTTCTACATGTTTTTAGTAATTAAAATATGTTATTTATAAAAATTGTAGTAAGCTATCATATTTATTTTAAGAATAATGGACTTGTTTGAAGAAAATCAACAGATACTACTACGTACAAATGATAGATTAAATAACATAAAAACTGTCGCATTAGAAACTGAAGAAATTGGCAGTGCTATAGTTCAAGAATTAGGAGAACAACGTAGTACATTAAGTGGTGCACGAGATCGTCTAGAAAATATTGACAATTCTAGACAATCATCTCATCGTTATATAGCTGCTATAAATAGACATGTATTCCATGATAAGTTACTTTTGTACCTTGTTATCATTGTAGAGTTTTGTAGTCTTCTTGGTCTTATTTATTTAAAATACATAAAAAAATAACAATAACACATTTAATTAATAATTATAAAATAATTATCATTAACATATAATTATAGAATGCATTTTATTTTATATTTTTACACAATAAAATATTATAGTAATAAAATATATAATTATTTGAAGTTACTTTTGAAATAAAAATTTTACATAAGAAACAAAATCATTCATTTATAAAAACAGTATTAGCTACTTCCAATAATTTACTATCTGATAAATTGTCAATTGAAGTTTTAGCATATTCAAAGTATATTTCATCTGGTAATTTTGTACCATTTGATTTATACCCTTCACAATCAGGATCATAACATTTTTGGTACCAAAACATTTCATTTAAATCAACAATATATTTAACATTATTACTTTTATGCTGTCTCTTTACATTTCCACAATAACGATTTTTTATAATGCTATACACAAGTTTGTTGGCAGATGGAAAATAGTGATATCTAAATATCTTGCCAGGAAATATTAAATTAGAAATAAATTTATCAATTTTTGGGTAAGGTGATTGTGAATATGATGAATGACATTCACTTTGGTCCTCTTTGTTAAAACAAACATTAAACTTTTCCTGATATATTTCACTACAAGTATTTGTGAAATTTAATAATAGTTTTTTGTCACATCCATAAGTGACTAAGGACTTTAAAAATATGTGTTTATCAAAACAATCGGTACAATGTGCTTTTTCAGGCAATTCATACTTATTTGTTTTACTGAGTACTAAGGGAACATTTTTATTCAGTTTAGATGATTTGTAAATCCTAAAATTTCTATTTCTAGTATATACACATTCATCACAAAATAATCCTTTATTTGTTTTTAAATTGAATAAATCATTTATGGTAATTCCATCATAAAAATAGTTTTGATCATCTGAATTTAAATCTTCCAGGAACATTTTTTTTATTTCTCCACAAATAAATTTAACAAAATAACCAGCTTGTATATTATTTGAAAACACTATATTTGGAAAAATCAAATGATGACTAAATTTGTCTGCAGTAGATGAGTCTAAATCAAGAATATCTCTTTCGGAACATTCCAAGTCAAATTTCTGTTTAATAAATAATTTTATAATTTTTACGAACGTTTCTAACATTTGAATACCATTTGAATTAAGATTTTCTTTATATTCAAACTCTATATCAAAATACAATTTACAAGGATGGTTTTCAGTAATTATTTCATATGTATGTCTTTTGTTAAAAGGCCTTATAGAGTCATAATACCAAAACGTTTCGGGATGGGCAACCATAAAAGCTCTTTGACCAGTGCTTTGTTCATAAGTAAATGTCATACAACCATTTGCTTTGATTGATGCATACTTAATAGCTTCATGTTGTCTTGGAAAGACTTTCCAACCAATTGGTGGACCTTGTAATCGTTTTATGTTAAGAAAATGACATTGCTCACGTCTTACCTTACTTAATGAAGATAAAGATGGAGATGTTATTTCACTATTATGTTTGCGACTTCCATAAAAATTAGTAGTTGTCAAGCCTGACATTATTCGAGAAGTTAAAATACTCTAAGCATTTAAATTTCTTTGATACAATCCTTAGTTAAAATCATATTAGCATCAAAAATGTATGTAAACACTTTAATATAAATATATTAAAAACAATTTACGTACTTCTTAATTATATTAGATGATGTGATATAAAATCTATTAACATTAATTATTGATATATGATTAAAACTGGCGCGAAAATATTAAAACTATACTACCACAGATTAAATACACATAGATAGGCCACGGCAATCAAATAATTGGCAATCGATTTTTTGTTAATTTATACCTGTAGAGATAGCCCTATATATCCTCTGAAGAAATATTAAATATTTAATAATAACTGTCCGGCCTATTGATAAATAGTAGCCGCGATTATCAATGTACGGCTATCATTGCTAGCGCAAATTAAGATAAGAACCAGTTATTATTAAAAAGCAATTGCATGTATCATTCAAATGAAACTTTTCCTTATAAATACGAATTTAATAAAACATAATGTGTTTTTTAATAGATGAATATTGATTTATATTTGACTTCTCTTACATTATTAGTGTTTAGGATCTTAACTTATTGTATAACAATTTTCTCCCTATCGATTTGTCCACTGTCATGATTTTTATTTGGTGTTTAATTTCTTAAGAGGACGTTATACAGCCAATTTTAGAGCGTTAAAACATATCTTCTTAAAATGAATTTTACACACTAAATACTGCACTTAGAGCAATTACACCCATATAAAAACGAAAGAAAACAATATTTTAGAGATGATCTCATATGCGTTTTTGGATATATTGTATAAGGAGTTATAATTGATTGAAGTTTAATAAAAAAAATACATTTTCAAATTCAATTATCAAGCTTAATATTAGATTAATCCCAAAATGGGTATGATATTGTCTTCGAAATATTGTCCTCTTTCAATTTTTTAATAGGTGTTAAAGCTCTAAATTTAATACAGAGTGAGTAAAATGCATTCTTTTAAGATTATTTTTAGACGACTTTTGAAATATTTTTTGTCAACTTGTGCTGCCCCTATCGGTTATATGACCCCAAGAACGTTATCGATATTTTTTAAAATAATTTCGTTAACACTTGCGGATTAATTTTAATATGCCGGCACTCAATGTTTGAATTGTTATTACTTATCAGTATTTTAGATTCGATGCGAAATCGAGAAGATATTAATTTTACTAGGAAGTTTTTTTTTTGTGTCTGTTACCACTTTTTCTCAGCTCTCACTGAAACGATTTCTTTCACCGATATGTCAAAAGATCAAAACTCGTATCTAGTCGAAGACATTACCCTCAAAAATTGCCATAACTTTTTTAAAAATCACCAAATCAATATAACTTTTTTTTTTATAGATGCTTGATGTCTTTATTATATTAATTTTTGAAAAAGTTATGGCAGTTTTAAGTAACATATTGACATAGAATAAAGTTCATAAGACATAAGAAATTAAGCTTATTAAAATTTTTTTATTTTTTTAAAGTCGAAAAAGTAATTTTAAAATTTGAGTTAACTTAAATACTCAATTTTATCAAGCGACAAAAGCATCGAACAATTGCCGAATCGGTAACACTTCTGTCATTCATGCTTACGGTACGAGGTTCAAATCCGTCTGTGGCTATCAATATTTTGCATTTTTTTTGAGTTGGAATACAATTTTCAAAATCATTTGATATTTATCTTATTTAGATTCAATAACTTTAATAAATATAAAGGATCCTATCACTATAGTCTCCCCTCGTGAGAAGAAATTTATATTCATGTTAATATTATTTTACTATGTGGTTCTTTTGTGGCTACGATTTATTTTGCCAACCCTCACTAGACCTACTTTTTTCAACGATACGTCAAATGATTCGTATTTAGTTTAAGTTATTACTCTTAAAAATCGAAAAAATATTCCTTATTCAAATAAAAAGTAGCTTAACCAGCTTTTTCCATACAAACAATTAAAATCATTAATTTCTAATATTCATAAAGTATTTATTTTCGAATTAGATTTGATATGATAAAAGTATTCAACTACAAAAGTAAATAGTTATACTTTGTAATTTTTTAAATATATTTGTGTGTGCTACTACCAGTCTATAATATTCCAATTTTTTTGTAACATGTTGCTATATAAATCATAAATTTAAAAAAAAATGATTTTTAATTTCAACTGAATTTAACGATGGATTTTTACAATTATAATCAAATTTTATAATACGCACAATTGAGTAAATCTTTTTAACAACTTTTTTTTTATTGGTTTTTTAGATATATAATCATTAAAATTAATTAAATTATGAATATTTCCATTGTAGAATCTTTTTAAACGCCAAAAGTTAATTAGAAATGATTACTATGATTTTTATTTAAGTGATCTATTACGATAAAAATGTAAAAAAATCTAACTTTTCTGATAAATGTATTGTAAATAGTAATTATAAAATTCCCTGATTGTATATTAATCTTAACAATTTCATTTTTTTTATTTAATAATATCAATTTCAAACTTGCAAGTTGAGCTAAATATTATGGTAATAAATTAATTTTTTTTTTATTAAAACTTTCACTTTAAAGGACAATAAAAAGTAGGTTCAAAATTATTACTTTTAACATATTAAAAATCAAAATGAATAATAATTTGAAAACAATTAATTTTAAAAATTATATAATATATAATTAAAATAATTACTAATCTGGGTATAATTAAGGAAATTGAAGTTAATGTTGCTTTTGTAATTATTCATTAATTTTTTTAAATTAAACACTATCTACAGATTTGCATATAAGCGTTTCTTATGATAGTGATTTTAATCACTGTCAGATTAAATCTATACTGGACCCAACTATGCAACGTCTCCACTATGCCGCGACCCCACTGTGCTGGGTTTTTTTACATAAAATTAAACAATATTAATTACCTATAACTTTAATCTTAAACAATTTTTTATCTGACTTTTTTCTCGTTTGCTATCTACGAATTTACCACTGAATTTTTAACATATTTTTCAAAATGTCTGAAAAAATTCAGAGTTCTACGTAAAATACACCAATAAAAAATTAATTTATTAACAATATACTCAATAGACATTATACTCTAATACATAACAAAGAAAATGATATATTATTTTGTAATAATGATAAAAAAATGAAGAAGTTTTGCGCAATTGAAAAATAAAATATATTTCCTAATATCAGTTTTTTAATTCGATGCTTTAATTTTGTAGAATTACTCACAATATTACTTTTCATAACAAAATTTCGATTTTTTAAATAACTTATGATTATTTCATATAGTTTTATTGGGATATTTTTAAATTGGTCCTTAGTAATACACTATTGGCCCCATTACTGTGATGTTATGTAGGTTTCTTTGCGTGAATTGAATTCTATTGTCAGCTATTTAGAAAACTGACGTTGACGCTTATGATAAACACGCTGTGCTGGTTATGATACAGGTGTCTGAAACAGTCCCTGTATCACACAAACCTCCAAGTGGATGGTGTTCCCTCACCGTTCCTGAGGTTCGCTCTCCACATTTCTTTTTGGAACCGTGGAGAGGTTCCCCTCATTTATGTTCGGCCACAGTACACTATTATTCTTATTTGTTTATTACACTCTTGTGCTCAAAGTTCTCGTGCCCTTGCTCGCCACCAGTGATTAGGCCCTGACCATCACTAAATAACTTCATTGTCGTAGTCGCTTTTCCGCCGTCTGTTTTCATGTCATTACGTGCCTGGATCTACACTCGTGATACTCAGATGTTCGACACCATTACCACAAGATCTCATACAATCCATACATCACAATCAAGAACTTCATCTATTGAGATGAATTTTTATATTATTTTTCAATGTTATTATTTGTGATTAACTAATTTGTTTTATAACGCTTCGCCGGCTATTAGTATTTAAGAGTTTAAGATAGTCTTTGAAGATTTTCTAATATATGTGGTTATTAATTATTTAATTATTGTCTACTCTCCATACTAATTGGATGTGTGGCGGTTAGCCGTCATCTACCCAGGTGACCTCTTTCCCGCTTCAACAATAGCCATTTTTAAAAAATTATTTAATTTTGTAGTTAAAACCCATTATTATATCAAACTATCTAAATGAGAAAAAAAATTTCTAACTCAAAAATCTTTGTTAAGTTTTTTAAAATAATATCAAATACAAAACAGAGAATTATAACAAAAAAAAACCCAGCACAGGGGGATCGCGGTACAGTGGTGACGTAGCATAGTTGGATCAAGTATAATGATATCTGACCGATTAAAATCACTATAAAAAAAAACGCTTCAACGCAGATATTTAGATAGTATTTAATTTAAAAAAATTGGTGGATTATTCCAAAAGCTATATGATCAGCTAGTTCCTTATTAACATCCTGATTAAGATAAAGTATGTCAAATGAAAAAGTGATTATTAAAAAATATTATGTCTCATAAAAAAATTGTGTTGATGTATGGATCAACTTTTTAATAAGTTATAGCATTATAAAATTAAAATAGTAAAAAATAAAATCGAGAATTTTCACACAAAAATAGCATTCGGTAGCCGTTTTCACCGTGAAGACAAAATAAAGTCCGAATTTTTTTTTTCCATAATAAAGTATATTATATTAGCTTTCATAAAAGTGTCAGACTTTCCGGAACACTTTCAAAAGTTAAGTTGAAAAAGTTGTCATTTTAAATCCCCTTTTGTGGGCAGGTAAAGGGTTAAATTTATAAAAAAATATATCAAATGATAAGTAAAGACATCAAGCATCTATAAAAAAAAAAAAATTATATTAATTTGTTCTTTTTTGAAAAAGTAATAGTTTTAAGTTGTAAGAAAAATTTTTTATCGAAAATTAGCGATTTTTAAATTTGTAATTTTTTTGGAGGTTTCCTTCATTTACGGGGAACGAGGGAAATTTTTTCAATTTTTGAGGATAATGTCTTCGACTAGATACGATTTTTTGACGTATTGTTGGAAGAAATCGGTTCGGGGAAAGCTGAGAAAAAGTGGCGACAGACAAAAGAAAAAAACATCATAGTAAAATTAACACCTTCTCAGATAATGCAATATTGTTTATGGCATACTATGCAGGATAGAGTCGAACGATTGTACTCATTTTAGAGATCGTATATATTGTTACAGGATATGTTTCCATTAATTCCTATTCCGAATACACTAAAATTATGTGAAAATAATTTTTTCTTGTTTTATGAAGAATTTTTTAAATCAGCAGTTGATAATAAAAATTTATTTTTTATACAATTTTAATTGTCCTTGTAGTTATTTAGATTATAAAAAATATGATAAGGTAAACTAAAGTGATGATTATATAAAGGTTAATTAGTAAAAAAAAAAAGTTATTTCTGATGTAATTATTTAATTATGTAAAATGGTATGTAATTATTTAAGAAATGTTACTAAGGGGTGTAGGAGTTTCACAGTTGTCTAAAATCAAAATTAGCAGGTTTTAACTTGGACCTTCCAATTTAAGACAAGGAACATATTTAAAATTTCTCTTCTTTATGTTTTAAATCTAATAGATTTCAAATTTAATAATATTTTTTAAATTTACCAAATAATCAGTTTTTTTATGTCATAAAATTACATATTGAGTGCGTTCAAAAAGCTTTAGGACAATAAAATTTTACCTAAACAAATAAAGAGGTTTTAATGATACATATCACCATAGTTTTAAGTTATTTATTAGATACCATTATTTTAAAATTAAATTAAATTAAAGGAATTTATCAAAAAATATTCATCAACAAAATAATTATTTACAACAACTTGAGTTTTTAACTCGAAGATATACAAATAAAATAAAATTTATTGATAAAACGATGTTATCATTGAAAATCTGAATTTTTTTTATCAATGATGTACAATTAAATTATAAAATACGCTCATAAAACAATAAGTATGCCTGACAACTCTGGACATCATTAGGTGATGCAGGTCTAACAGAACTATCACTGATATAATACCAATTACCATTTGGCGCTAAATGAGAAACATCTTCATTACCATCAATTATTTTAGACGGTAGAGATTTACAGCCTTCTAAAAAGGAATTTCGATAACTGTCATCCTTTACTTGATCTCGCACCTAATTATTAGTAAAAAATTTCAATTATGTGTTCATTATAAAAATATTTATGAATAAAAATATACTTTAACATAAGCAACATAATGTCCTCCATGTAAGAAGCCACTGTGTTCTACAACTCCATACAAAGAGTATAAAATTCGATTTTGACCAGGACTAAGCTTATCCTGAAAATAATTTTTAAAGAATATTACACTATCTATTTAACACTAAAAAAAATTTGGCTTTTACATTGTTTGGAAATTATGAAATTCTCATACCTTTATTTCTATAGCTAGAACTTTTCATTTTTTTATAATAATTTTGATTTCATAAATAAATAATTATGTTTATAAGATAATAATTTAGCTTACTTGACATTTAACAGAACAATAAGGAGCAATATCCAACACCCATGGAAATGAAACATCTCTAGCCAACTTTTTAGTAGTAGAATACCACATTTGAAATCTTTTTAAATGCAAGATTAAAATAGCTGGAGGTGAACTGATCAACATTTGTTTAGTGCTTTGGCGATAAATTGTTTTTTCTTCATTAGTTTCTTAAAATCAATTTAATAAAAATTAAAATAAACTCTAATTGATTAAATTAAAAAATTACTTTGTTTATGTTGTTCAGTGCATTTTTCACAAGATACTTTATTATTACCAGTCATTATTTCAGACGCAGTAAATTGATTAAGACATGTTAATACAGAGCATTCACCTTCTTTGCATTTAGGCCGTGGTTGCAAAGTTGCTTGAGGGCATTCTCGAGAGAAATCACCACCATCTTCATTATTTTCATCTTCTTCACTTTTTGAATCATCAAATAAATCACCATCATCACTATTGTTATCACTCACATTTGGTGTAGGATTATTACGTTCCTAAAAAATATTATTTTAAATAGTATAAAAAACAATAAGAGGTTTAACAGTCTTTGAAAGACTGATAGTTCTTAATTTTAAAGTATTTAAATACTATTTTAGTTTCTAAATACTTTCAGAAAAATGTGTTTGGAATACTAATTATTTTTCAAATTAAATGCATTACTTTTATTGTATACTTGAGAAAATTAATGATAAAATCGTAAAACATTTTATGTTTTACAGATAACTACTGTAAATTATTATAATAATGGAAACTTAGTAGTAACTTTTCTCTTTCTTTTTCCCTGCCTTAATCTGAACAACTAGTGTCAACCACTCTTCTCTTAAACTTCTACTTGACATGATCTCCCAAATCATCCGTCTTCATATCATAATCAATAACATCCCTCCATCTCTTTTTTGGTCTTCTTCCCTCAACATTCATTTACACAACTGTTTTTACAGCTTTCGATTCCTCTCACCTAATAATATTACTAAACCATCTAAATCTATTTTCATTCATTTTATCCATGATCGACTTACTCCTTATCCATACTTCTTCTTATATCCTAAAATCTTCTGTTACACCACCCACATTTCTACCCTGTTACAAGTGTTATCATAAAAATCTTCTATTATATTAGTGGACCTTTTCGGGATTCCTCTTTTCATTAATGCCCACTTTAAAACCTCTCTTGATACTCTATTAGTACGCTTTCTTCAAATCTATAAATAGTCAGTTTTTTCTTATTTTCCCTATATTTTTTTCTATTAGTTGCCTCACACAAAATAATGGCTCCATTGTTGACTTACCAGGCATTAATCCAAACTGGTTTTTAGATACCGATGTCTCATTTCTTATTCTCTTATCTATTACCTTTTCCCAAATTTCACACAAAAAACTGGCTGAATCTAGTAGTAACTATTTACTATTTTGATACAGTTTCTATTCTATTAAAAAAAACTTATAAATATATGAACTTTTAAAATATTAAAAATTGTGTATAATAAATGCTACACACCTATGAATAGAATATATTATATATATTAACTAAAAAATTTGAAACTTTTAAGTTTAATAGCTAATAAACGGATTAAGTTATATTGATATCTAAATGTCACTTACTGTTAAAAAAAAAATTCTACAATTTTATTAAATTGAAAATGTGTTCTCATTTGAACAAAAATAATTGATACCCTTCCAAAGAATAAGGGATGAATCTAAAAAGTACTTAACAAACAAATCAAGAATAATACGTAACTAAAAATAACTAATTTTTTTTTTTTTAAATTATTAATAATCTGTAAGTAATTAAGTGTGTACAAATAATGTTGTCTATGAGCAAAAATAGCAACATAATTCAAAATTATTCATTTTTCTGATAGTAATATGGATAAAAAATACTGAATTTTAAGTTAGGAAAATGTCAAAATTATAAGAAAATATGGAAATAGTAGATTTTACAACAGTTTTGCAGAAAACTTATTGACCTTTAATTAGTATGGAATTATTTATTTATATTTTGCATTCCTGTAATTTTTTTTTTCAAGTAATGTAACTATTCTGGTGAATAAGCAATATATAAAAATGAGCATATACTTGATTTTCATTAGCACTGTCAGTTCCAACATCCATATAATCTGGACTAACATTAGCACGCATTGAATCAAGAGATGATCCATGTGGTGAGCCTGGACTGTTCACTGGACTTCCATGAAGACCAGAATCTAATTCCATTGGTTTTTCTAACTCTGAAGTTTGTTCAGCATTTAATTGACGATCAGGATCACCTAATGTATGAGTATTATTCATAAGAGTAGTAAGTTCAGATATGCTTGGAGAAGGGCTAGTAACATTAGATGGTTGTTTCTCAGAGCCATAACCCGATTCTGGATTATGTTTATTTTCATTTTTCCAATCGGACATTTCAACTTCATTTGTTTCAATTTCCATGTTATCTTCAACATCAGCATCATTGAAAGCAACTAAAAACAATTTATTTTTCCCATGGTAGTTATTTATTTTTAATAAATAAAAATATTCAGGACATTTAAGTATTCAAAAGACCTTTAGGCATGAGAATATTTTACGAAATTTTAAGATCTAAGGCATACCACTTATCTATATTTATAAATTACACAATATCTTTGAACCTAAATCTTGACTCTAATAGATTATTAAATAAATTGTGTTAAAAATATTTATTTATTAATAATCCTTGTAAAAATTACGATGTACACAAATTAGTTGTATAATATTATTATTTAACTTTCTAGTGGTCATGTTTTGTAACATGTACATCAGTTCATTTTTATTATCTAAAAAACCCCATTAAATGTATTTAATTAAAAATATGTATTAATTTTAAAAAATTTTCAATAAATTAATTATTTTAAGATTTATGATTAATTAATTATCAAAATTATAGGTTTAGAGTATATAATAAGATATATTAAAAATAATACCTCTAACTTTTTTTTATTTAATAATTTTTAATAAAAATGTACTCAGAAAGTTTTATTTATTTTATATTAATATAGTAAATACTAAGAGTTAAAAATTATTTTTAAACTATTAAATGGAAAAGGGACTACAAAAAGTATGACTGGTTGATAAATTATTTTGTATTTTTACTTATAGAGATATTAATATTAATTAAGATTTATAAAAGGTGAAGAATTGGTGTTTAGCAATGCTCTTTTTTTTATTATAACACACAAACTATATTAGGTTAAGGAATATTAATAAACCGGTTGTTAACTAGTCAAAATTTTTTTAGTCCATTCTCTATTTAATAGTATAAAAATAGTTATAAATTACAGTTTAACATTCAAGTTACAATCCCCCATCAAAAACACACTCTCAGAAATAATATTTTATAATATTTACTATGTTATATTAAAACAAGTAACTTTATTCAGTTAATTTTTATTAAAAAATCATTATTTAACAAAAAATATTTGATATAGTGTTCTTAATAAATTACACTGTATTCTTTAATAATAAGTTTTAATAGTTTATTATAAATCTTATTATAATTAATACTCAAAAAATTACATAAATATGAATAAATATTTTTCTTTATATAATGAAAAATTCAGGAGAGTATTTTTAATAAATAAACAAGATATATTACCTAAATTATCCTGTACTTTATTATGAAATTGTTTACGTTCATAATTCTTTCTTCTTGATTGCTTATGAGCAATTTTACGATCTTTTTTAGTTTGATGTTTAGACTGACTGTAATTTTCATTGTCTTTTTTATGAGAAAATGGTGGAGGTGAAGCCTATTCAATTGTTGGGGATATGTTTAATTATTATAGTTAAGAGTTGAAAATAAATTTACTTTATCTGCTGTTATTGGTAAGCTTAAATCAAGAAAACTTTCTGTAACTTCTGACATATGACCACATGTTTGACATTGAACAACACTTAACAGTTGACCTTTAAAAACATGATCTGGGCGTAAAAGTATTAATTGTTGTAACTTTTTATTCATCTCTTTGATCTTTTTAGTTTTTTCTTCATTAATTTCACTTGGATCAGATCTCATGGATAAACCATAATGATGAATTATTGATCTTTGATAACGCTAAATTAAATAAAAACATATTATGTATTTAAGATTAAAAATGCCAAATGTAAGTAACTTTGTAAAGCAATTTTTAGTATTACAATTATATTAAAATGCTATTATAATGACTTGTTTTATGTGTTTAAAAACCATTGTAGCTATTAGATAAATAAAAAACAGTTAAAATTTTTATTACATAAATTTTTTTAAAAGATGGTAAATTTTTAACTATCATATTAATTTTGTTATGGAAAATATTATATAATCTAAATTAACTAATAAAATAATTAAATAACTTTTTAAATCTACTCTATTCTTACTGAATTTACCTTAAGGTCATCGTCACGCACAGAATCTAAAAGATGACGCAAAAGTTCATGAGAATCATGTTGACTATAACCTATAAACATTTTGCATTTTTTTCTTAATGAATCTAAAAGAGCATTTGGAGTAAATACAGATTCTCTTTCATTTGTTATTTCAACTAAAGTTGTATACAAATTTTCTGTCAGGGAACTCCATTTATCAAGTTCTAAATTCTAAGAAAAAAAAGACAAAAACACAAAATATATTAATATATGGGTTTAAATTTAATATATTAAAAATAAAAAATTTGATAAAAACAAAATTACATGAAATTTTTACTTACTAATTTTTCATCATCTAATATTAATGTAACAGATTCTCCTGGTTCACTTATGTCTTTTAAGACTTTTCTTAGAAAAGGAGTTTGAGCAAGGCATTGTAGTACCGAGTTATAGAAACACGTATTACCTAAATTATTTAACCCCTAAAATATAATTTTATGTTAATGAAAATACATGTGTTATTAATATGATTCAATTTATTTTATTTAAAATTAATTTTAAATTGCAACTAGGGCGGTAAGGGGCTTTTCAAATTTAATAGTTAGCAACTACAAAAACTGTTCGAAAATTATATTAGAGCTTGTCGAAAACAAATTTTAGAGAAATACACATTTTATTTTTTTTGAAATTATATCTCAAATAACTTAATATTAAAATCTTATTTTTCAATAAATTGAACTTCACCTAAAATTTGACTTATTCAAATTCATCAAAATATAATAACAAACAATATATTAAAATTAAATGTCTTACTCTAGGCCTTTTTGATCGAACATTATTTATAATAGTATTAGGTAATTTAAAAGATTTGGTAGATAAAAGAAGTTCATCATTATCATCATCATCCTCATCATCATCTTCATCAGATTTAGATAAACCATTGCATGTTTTTGGTGGACTAACTAAAATTTAAAAAACTATATTATAAAATTTGAAAACGAAAATTAAAAACCCAGCACAGGGGGGTCGCGGCACAGTAGTGACGTGGCATAGTTGGATCAAGTATAATGATATCTGATAGTGATTAAAATCACTATCCAAAATTAACGCTTCGATGCAAATCTTTAGATAGTGTTTAATTTTAAAAAAATTAGTGTTTTATTCCAAAAACTACTTGATCTGCTGGTTCCTTATTAATATCTCGATTAAGATAAAGTATGTCGAATGAAAAAAGGTTTATTAAAAAATATTATTTCTCATAAAAAAATTGTGTGGATCCATAAACTTTTCAATAAGTTATAGCATTATAAAGTTAAATGTAATATAAATAATAAAATCGAGAATTTTCACCCAAAAATAGCATTCGATAGTCATTTTCACCATGAAGACAAGTCCAGAGGTCAAATTTTTTTTTTTCAAATTAAAGTATATTACATTAGCTTTAATTTAAGATATATATAAAAGTGTCAGACCTTCCGGAACATTTTCAAAAGTTAAGTTGAAAAAGTTAATTTTTTGTGAAAAAGTTGTCATTTTAAATCCCCCCCTGTGGGCAGATAAAGGGTCAAATTTACAAAAAAAATATACCAAATGATAGGTAAAGACATCAAGCATCTATATAAAAAAAAATTATATTGATATGTTCATTTTTGAAAAAGTTACGGCAGTTTTTAGTAAAAAAAATTGAAAAAATTTCGAAAATTAGCGATTTTTAAATTTGTAATTTTTTTGGAGGTTTCCCCCATTTACGGGGAACGAGGGAATTTTTTTCAATTTTTAAGGGTAATGTCTTCGACTAGATACGATTTGTGATCTTTTGACGTATCGTTGAAAGAAATCCGTTCGGTGAGAGCTGAGAAAAAGTGGTAACAGACAAAAAAAAAAAAAAAAACACATCATAGTAAAACCAATACCTTCTCAGCTTCGCATCGAAGCTAAAAAAAGAAAATCAAAGTTTTTCTAGCAAATTGGTTTGAAAATCAAACTAGTACAATTAAAGAACACAAGGAATTTATTTCATAATGATACAAAAAATGTTTCCATGAAAATTATTAAAATTGATGATTGGTTCAAGTTTGATTATATATATGGATTGTTCAGTTTGACTAAATAATAATGATAATTCATTCAGGTTTTATTAAAAAAGTAAAAGTTTGGGATGACCCCAAAATTCAGAATTTGTATTAACACCAAAAATTATTGTTAAATAGATTTAGAAATATGGTTTTGTTACTTGAGTAAATATTGTCATATTGAGCATCTGCCTCTGTTGCACAACCTTGCACTTGAATTTCATCCATTTTATGTTTACCAGCTTGTGTCTCTTTCATAAGCCTAATTAAATTTAATACTCCTTGAAGTTTTTTTGAATTAGCTGGTTTAAGTTCTTTTTTGCAATCACTACAACTAAATGCAAAGTAATAATTAAAAAAATAGCTTGTTTCTTCAAATTTAATAAAGTCTAAATAGTTAAGTTATATTAACATAAACTTATTCAAATAAATTTTTATAATTTTAAGTATTCTATAGAAGTAAATTAAATAGAGTTTATAAATATTTAAGATTTACTAAATTATTTTTACTAAAAAAAAATTATTGGAACAACTTTAAACCTATATGCCAAAGGTAAACTATCATAATTTCTTCACTTGTGAAATCAAATTGACTTATAATAGTTTATTTCTGAGGTATAAAATAAAATAAAATAATTTTTTTTATTATTTTAAATATCATCAAATATCGTATTATATTTGCCTAAAAATCAAAGAAAAAAAAACCCAGCACAGGGGAGTCGCGGCACAGTGGTGACGTGGCATAGTTGGATCAAGTATAATGATATCTGACAGTGATTAAAATCACTATCAAAAAAAAAAAACGCTTCGATGCAAATCTTTAGATAGTGTTTAATTTTAAAAAATTTGTGGATTATTCCAAAAGCTTCATAAACTGCTAGTTCCTTATTAAGATAAAGTATGTCGAATGAAAAAGAGATTATTAAAAAATAGTATTTCCCAAAAAAAAATTATATTGATCAATAAACTTTTCAATAAGTTATAGCATTATAAAGTTAAAAATGTAAAAAATAAAATTGAGAATTTTCACACAATAATAGTATTTGGTAGCCATTTTCACCGTGAAGACAAAATAAACTCCGAAATTTTTTTTT